CCCAACACTTTGTTTAGGTTGTATGGCGTCGACTCTGACGAAGCGTAAATCGAGCGGGGTCATTTTGTAGATCAAAGCCGTGTAAAATCGTTCTGGTTCACGAGGCTGTCATGCATCTTATTTTTCCAGACGGGGAAGGATGCAGCTGCTGTCTGCCAGGACAGATGGGTCTCTGCACTAAAAATCTTAAAACCAATAGTAAACATCTGTTGAACATCAGTAAAACATGAACAATTAGTTTAAGTGGCTATTATTTCTGATAACTGTCTAGTACGGTCCTTTGTTGTGACAAGTTGGTTTCGTATAATTGACTAAAGTACGAGTCCCGGTTGATATTGCACACCCCTAGTCTGGCATTGCTGTTTCTATTTCACAGTTGGTTTTTTTTCCTCAAGCTGCGAAGGCAAAGCTTTGGGTGTTGTGTTGTGCCCTGTTTATACTGGAGGGCAAACCAGACATGGATCAATACCTTGATTGGCAGCTGTTAAGTTCTGACAGTCTCCAGCTGCTGCTCGCTCATTGCTGTTCTCGCCATGTGGTCAGCTCTCCCTCTAATTGCTTCGCTCCTGCTGTAGAAACCTTAAATCTGCAGCAGGTTGGGGTCACGACGTTTTAACCATCTTGGTTTTTATCTGCCGCGAGAATTCCACATTGTTCAGACTATGCAAATTGATGACAAATCACCCAAAGCAGACCTTGCTGATCAGTCATTCCTTTCAGTTGGCGGATGGAGCACAGACTCAATGAAACACTTGGCACATCTCTTTTCAGCAAGTTGGCGAACACCTTGGGACCTGGCGGCTTGCCAAATGAATACTGGCGGCGAGTGGGTGTTGTCATGGTAACGGCAAGCACTGGCATGCAACGGATAGCACCAGCTTTCCTGTACAACCTCCCCTCTCTTTACAGCCCCACTGCAGCTTAATTTCACCGTGTCGGCTTTGTGGCTATAAAGGTGATGGGTGATGTAGAAGGAGAACAAAGTTGGTGAGGCAGAGGCTAATCTTTAACCAGCCTATCAGGCAGCTTAGAATCAGTTAGTTACATGTTAACCAACCTAACTGCTAACTTTAAATACCCAAAATATGGGTTACAGTTAAATTTATAAAAATTTTGTTTTTATTCTGTTGATCTAACAAAATAACTATCTGTTAAAATAAAGAAAAAAAACATTAAAAGATGCATTCCTTTGAATTCTTTGCTTTTGGTGTCTTTAATTGCTGTAAAACCTTTATATAAAATCCATGTCAGTTTGTTTGCCAACTTAACCAAACAAGGTGCGTACGTACACTGGAATGGGCTGGTAATTAAATCCAGGTGTGACTAGTCACGAGAGCTGGAATGATTTGTGGAGGAGATCTCTTAATCTGCAACTATGTTGTTAATCTGGCAACTGTTTTGTGCTTTATGCCAAAGCACCAAGCATTAGATGGTTCCATCTTTTTAATTGTGAATGTTTGCTGGCTGATTTGTTTCAATGTTGCCTCATTTGTGTGACAAATGAGTCAAAAAAGCTGTTTAAAAACTGTTATCTGACATTTTAATTGACAAAATGACTGAAGTCAAAAAGGATTAAAGGAGCTGAATAAAGCTTTTACTTTCCATATTGTACTATAGTAAAAATTGGACTAGTTGCACTTGTGCATTGCTTAGAGTAGGACAGATATTAAGCTGGAAAAAAATTGTCATCCTGCAACATCATACATTTGATGCAATTTGAGATTAAAACTCGGTGAACTTAACAGGAAAAAAGTTGATTATTTTTAAGTGCTGCAGTTCGGAGGACGATGGTGTAGAGAGAGAAAGATAGAAATAGAAATGTCATGTAGTCAGTAGAGCTTCCGCTATCCTGGTCAGAGGACCCTTGTACATTGATTTCAGATCCTTTGGTAATACTCTCTGACTTGTATTCACTATCTATCCCCACCCCTGGGCCTATGCCAGCCGAACAACTCTTTCTGGAGGAAATCCTGTGGTCTGTCTGTTGGCTGACTGCCCCAGTAGACGATACATGACCTTGCTCGGAGAATTGTCCTACCAATCAGCGAGCAGCTGCAGGAATCGGCTTTGTAAATGTACGCTCGTGAGAGGGGAAGCTGATGGAAAAAGTCCTCCTCTGCTTGCAATTTTAAATACCACACGTATCCCTAATCTGTTTTCCGAAGATTGTAAATTAATTTATGTAGCTCTGGGGTTTTGTTGGAAAATTACAAAACAGTGAGACTGCTAATTTAAACATGGTGGGAAAATGCAGCCTCTCCAACGGCTGTGTACACGAATTAGAGCTGGTTTAAGGGATGAGAAAGGTGTTGGTCTTTGTCCCATCCAGCAGTATTAATCCAAGTATGTTTCTGCTGTGTTTTCCGCCTGCCTCGCGTTTTAAATGTTCATCTTTAGCCAGTATTAAAAAATGGCTGTCATTAGCACAGCTGCCTCTGATTTTCCTCAATTACATCTCCACTTCCGACTACGCAGGTACCTGAGCCGTGTGTTTGGCATGCATCCGAAGGAAACAGCCAGACAGTTGAGCCTGGCTGTGAAGGACGGCCTGGTGGTGGAGACCCTGACCGTTGGCTGCAAGGGCTCCAAGGCCGGCATCGAGCAAGAGGGATACTGGCTGCCTGGGGATGAGATGGTGAGCCCACTACAATTTATCAAGTTCACAAGCAGTTGTGAATTTAATGTCTGAGTTTGTGTTAATGGCCACAAATAGAAAGTAGTAGTTGGGTCTGCACAGCTGAGTGTTGATCTGACTGATAGATGACACTTTTTAGCAGCCTGTAAGAGTTGGCAGATTGTATCGTTTCTTTACCGATCATTTTTAGTCCTGTGTTTTAGCTAGGGGAAAATCTCAATAATCCTATAAAACCTATTAAAGCCATTGTCTATAATGAAAATATTTGCTGGTTTTTAGTAATGAATTTACAGCATGCACACAGTACGTCTTTTACTATGTTCACAGATGATATACAGGCACGTTCTTAAGCAGTAAGTGCCAAACAGCAGAGGTAGCTGGGTAGGAAGGAGTGGTATTTCAGATTAATACAAGGCTTCAATAATTATCGCTCAGCGTGCATGTGCAGAAAATACTCCATCAGCTTCTGCTGTCGTTTGCCTTGAGAAGGAAGCCATCTGCTCTGCAGTTTTATTGATAGACTTCTTTTGAAATTTGCAATACTTGTTTTATTTCCCCAGTTAGTAGTGAGGCAGTATTCGCAGTGTAGTGATTCTTACAGTCAGTCTGTCACAGTATCTGTGCAGAGTGCACTATTTCAATTTATCACTGTCTGGGGAGAACCTTTGTGTATTTTTCCATCTGTATTTCAAAAGGCTGTGGTGTGCATTACTTTGCAAATGCAAGTGGGGGGTAAAGTATTTTGTGGCTGTTTTAATCCTACTGTTTTTGTTTCTTTAGGGTACAAAAACTGGCTGTATCAATGTCACACTTTACCTGTTAAACAACATTAGCATCATCAGTCATGAGTGAGCTACAGTGAAACATAATGCAGGAAAAACACAAATCTGTGATTTGATTTGATAGGAAACTAAGTTTTCTACTCTTTCTAAAACAACTGTAACTTCCATGTGCTCATGTAGCAGTTCACACTGACTTCAGATTTAATAGAACAGGTTTATTTGTTATGATTGCAGACCAGAGAAGAGTCATGGAAACATAGAAAGCTTGATAGATCTGGCTCTTTATATGTTGTGGGTCATCACAGAATACTTTTGTGAGTGGAGAAAGGCATGGGTCTCTAAGGGACATGACACTGAGGCTCCAGTGGAGCCCAGGTTATTTTAGCAGGACTTTTAAACACTACTCTCTGAATCACTTGCAATCACAGGATCCAAAAGCCGAGGGAAGCAAGGTAAGGGCTGCATCGTTATTTTCAAATCCAGGGTTTGTTCTCATTTGCTCCCCTCATTTCCCCCTCCTCTCAACTAACATCATTCTGTGAGAAATCAGTTCTGCCACATGCAGTGCAGTCGGGGATTTGAGTGAATCTTTTTAAGCAGGCTGCAGAAAAGCTAAACAGCGTACAGTATGGTCTGGTTGGTGCAAAAGTTAGAAGCCGTTTAAAATGAGATTGAGTCTTTGTGCAGTGCTTTTGACTGAGTCCACTTGCTGCATCGTAAATGAATTTATGCATCCGGTTTCCATTTGAAAATCATTCTGCTTGCTGGCCTAGAGTTCAGCAGTAATCGCACTGCCAGACATTACATGCTGTCATTCAGTTATGCTGTGAAAAGCTTCATGAAAGTCCGTTGCAGCGCTGTGTCTGCGTGGCCAAATTTCTTGCGGAAGTGATCAGTGATCTTTATGAAATATGTGCTTGCTACTTATCTACAGGTGTGTTGTTGCTTGATTTTGATAACACAAAGTCTCCTGATGTTAAAAAAAACAAAAACAGCCAAACATACTCAAATATCAAGTTATGGCTTGAAAAGCAATTGGTGTTTGCTTAAACTCAATCACATTCTCATGTGAGATGACAAGCAATGCTAGCATAGCCGCAGGTTGGTAGCAAGCATTTGTGAGTTTGTAGTATTTTGGTCTTGGTAGTTGTAGTTCTTCTAAGAACAGTGTGCTCTGCTGTGGTCTTAACTTCTGTCTGGCATGCTTATTTTCTTTTTTTTTCTTTTTTCCTTCATTTTCAATTGATGAAACAGTGGAGGTGGGGGTGGGAGGGGAGCTGGGTGATTATGGTTTGTGTGGTTGTGCTCTTTAGTTTCCTCCGTGCCTGCTGCTAATAACACGGCCGACTGGTTCTTTCAGGTTAGTAATCACTCAGCGGACAGACCAGAGTTTGAATGTGAGCAGCACTCTGAAGCAGGGCCTAGATGGAGGCCAGTTCTCCCACCGCAGGTGCTTGGATTCAGTCCAGCTGGCGTGAGCTGTGTCCTCTGGTTGACCTCAAGATTTATTTGGTCCTCTAACAGATAACCATGGCATTTGCACAACAACATAACTTTCAAAAATAGCACAAATAGGTTCTTTAAAAAAATTAAAGTTCAGTTTTAAAAGCATTCCCTCAAGCCAGGCTGGATTAAATCCAGGTTCACCTGATCTTACAGGATCAATTTCATTAAACGTCCCCTAAATGCTTGTTGATTATTGAAAGTTTGGTTATTAAACTGACTTAAATCTACTCATTTGATGCATGGTAATGAACATGATGTGATGTATTGATGCACTTTGACAGTAGTTACACACAGTAAAAGAGTCTACATGCACATTATTTCATTGCAGCTACTAACCCATTATTTTGACATCGTTCAGCGAGTTTCGCTGCTCAAACACTGTTTTCATTCTTTAGATCCTCCCGAGCGAATTTCATTTGTCATTGAAACTTTATTGAAAGCTTGACAGGCCTCTGAGTGGATATGCTCTTTGATCAGTTTCTTTACTGTGCATAAACACTGTAACTAACATCACTGAGTGCAGGGTTTGCCGTGGTGCTTAAGGGTGGGCCATCTCACATACAATTAATACACACAGGAAATGAAACACTTGACACCAAAAGAGAGGCTATTTAATGTGTCAAGATAAAAAAATTTTACCATCAAATATTTTAGCAAACAACTTGAACAATAGAATAACTTTATAGAAGGATAAGATTTAATATTTGATGTGTCATTGCTATTAAATATGTTGATTTGTGAGATTTTAATTAGTAAGTAGCCATTGTTGCAATGTTGCCTCCCTAGCAAGGTTTAAAACGTCTGCACGCTATGAACATAGGCTCCAAACTGCTCTGATAGCTGGAAAAACTCAAACTTAGTGCTTCTCTCTGAGAATAAACATTTTACTTGGGCCTGTGGAGAGAGACAGGATCAGAAATGCTAACAGAAAGGACTTTGTTCGTCATAGCAACACAGACATTTTTCATTCACAGATATTCTTATTGAACTTGACTGAGTTTGATGCGGGCTAGCTTAACATGGTAACCTATGTAACAAAAGCCACTGCTTAGCTAACCAGCATTAGCAGCCTTTGATCCTCCGAGCCACTGAAATGGAGATAAATTATCTCAGTCAGCTCATTATTCTGTTAGTTGCTTTAACTGGGGCAACCAAAAAACCATCAGCAGTGCAAACCCTTGTCAGGGTTTTCTACCCAACTAAGTAGTCACAACTACTTATTCAGTTGTCACTATCATCAGGCAGCAGTACAAACCATAGCTACTTGACATTGCAGTAATGGTGGTACTGCTCAAAGGCAAACAAAAATGCCCACTGATGGTGCTGTAGTGATGGATCTGTGTTTGTAGGCTTGGAGTAAAGCCTTCCAATGGAGATGAATCCTGGAGTTGTTTTTTGTGGGTCACAATAAGGCATGCTAGCCCTGCTGCTCGACCTTGCCCGGCTCTGTGGAGTGTCCCAGCTTGACACTGACAGTACAGAGCTGTTAACCAGAGTAAAGCTAAAGGCAGCCAACTCTCACTGCCTCAGTTCTTCCTCTATCGCTCTCAAAGCCCTCGCCTTGGCAGCTTATAGTCGGGGCACATTTCTCCCTCCAAAAAGCAAAGAAGCGCTTCACGGTTAAGAGAAGTCTGTGATTGGAACTCATAAAAGCCTTTTTTGGGGGGGAGTTGAACTTTAGCTAAGCACAGTTTTATAGTCTTATCTCTATCTTAGTGTTGGTGTTGCCGAGTCTGTATTCAAACGTTGTTATTGTAATAATATCTGTTGTGCTTGGGCCCAAATCTGTCCGCACTTCTGTTAAAAGTCACTTTGCTGAAACCACAGACGTCGTGTCCTTGGCTCACAGAGCTCTGGCTTTTTGAAGTCAGCCACTTGTCTTTCATCAGACAGTCCAACAATAGTGAAGTGGCTCTTGACACTCAGCAGAACACGAGCACCATCTCTCTGTTTTTCAAGTGTTTGTGTGGGTGAAGAGACTATTACGCTTTAGAAGTCCTTTGACGAATCGGTGCATGGATTTTTAGAGTGTGTTTACATCTACGCGGACTTAAATTTTGAACCCTCCTTCAGTTCTGTTCAGCTGGGAATCTGAGGTTGTACTTCGTGTGAGCTC